TCGGCCGTTGGCCTTGAACGAGTCACCGGATGTCAAAGTGGTGACTATTCCTCTGTCGAGGGTCCAGCGGCGGACTGGAGCTGAGATCAACTCCCGAGCTCTGTCGCAGTGAATGCGATACAAAGGCAGCCCCAAGGATCGAATCCTCGCGTAGATGCGAGCCAAGGCAGCCAAAATGTTGTTCACAGCCCGTCCTGGAAGTACTTCAACGAAGGTGACATTGCGGACTGCAACATCTTGAGCTTCTTCAATTTGCTTTTGCCATGCTTCCATTGCCGCACGGCCATGTTTCACACCTGCTGCTTCTGCTGCACTTTGTCCTGCCTCCCCCGGATCCTCTACATCTCCAGGTTCCTCCTCCCTCAAAAGGTCCTCCCCCGGGTCGTCGCCCCCAGGTTCTGTAGGAGTGTACTCATCAGCGTCGATGGAGGGTGGATCTTCCTGGTGACTTGATGCCTCTGCAAACTCAACCAATGAGCGGCCAGAGCGATCCACCGGGAAGGTGTACACAGCAATCATCATGTACCTGCAGTCGTGCCTGTTCTGGTCTTGACCAATCACCATTTTTCCGGACAGGTCGATGCTCAGCGTGTAGGCTTCAGGGTGTGTGATCTTACGATGTGGTTTGCTGCGCGCAGAGGAGCGAACACAGTCACGACAATCTCTTCTTGCTGGCATATGGTCATTGAGGTAATGTTGACGCCAGCTCTCAAGTGCCACCTGTCCAACAGGGCGGAGTGCAGCCTCCAAAGATGGGGTAACTCGACGGTTGAGGTGGTCTTGTACAGCTAGCACCAGCGCCACTTTCAAGCCCGGTGCCCATGCCGCCCAGCCTTTGGAGTCTTCACAGCGCTCCTTCAGCGTCATGTTGGCTCGATCTTGGCCTTGAGGATCAGGAGGGTCTCCACTTGGTGGACCTCGAACACCATCCAAAGCATGGATGTCACGCAGCACCACAGCCATTGAAGTAGGCTTTTTCTTGATGTGGCCCATCGGTCCTTGATCGAAGTGGATCATCCGGACCTTGAAGTGTGCCTCAAACGATTGCCATTCTTTGGTGCGCCACACTGACATGAATTTCTTGACCTTCACTTCTTCAGTCGGTCGATACCGTGCAGGATCTTCGGGCTGCTCGATTGCCAAAGCGGTCTGCGGCTCATCCGGCAGGCGAACATCCTCGCACAACATGTACAAGGCCAACATGCGGAACCAGAGTACACTATCACCAGTGACCAGATTCTGTTCGGTGGCCGTCAACGTTGGAACCCCATAGGGATACTCTTCAGTTCGAAGAACTCCGGGACCGCCGTCATCTTGGAACCTCAGGGCTGAAACAGTGCGGCAAGGTGGACCAGCCAACAATGCTTTGACTCTTCCTGATGCAGCCAGGGAGAGCAAGAAGCGGAAGACTGCATCATCATGCAAATCTGCTGGAACATAGCCGCTAAGATCGACACAAAGGACCTCAGTGCCACTGCCAGCAAGCTTCTTCTCCCAAAAACGGTGGTCCGGCCCTGAGAACAAAATGGATGACGATGCTTTTGGCCTGTTGTAGCCGCCGACGTTTGTGCCGGTTCCAAGGGATTCGATGCCCTCCATTGCCCTTCAGCGAAGATAGGTCCGGGATGACCTTCATCAACACCTCATCCGGAAGATCCGGAAACATCATCTTCATCTTCAGGGTGAGGGCCATTTCCGTGGAGTTCTTCACCGCCTCCAAGGACTCTGCTGATGGATCCACCAGCATGGACTTGAGCAACAAGGCCTTCCGCACCAATCGAACTTGTTGATGTTCGAGTCGAGCAATCATCTCCTGCCCCAACTGACGGGTGACCATCGGGCAGCCATGTTGGATGCAAACATCAAGCTCCTGGCCCTGCTCATCACGCAGAGAGCGTTTAGCCCCCTTCCACTCAAACCTGTAGCCCAGCTCTGTGATGCCTCCCAGTGGAATGATCCAGGATTGGCTCATAGTGTCATCAGCCGGGTCTGACACCAGGATCTTGGAGTTCACCTTCAGACGAAGTTTTGTTGTAACCCCATCAGCTAAGGTGACTTGCGTAGGTTGTGCCGCAGCCCATTCGCCTTCAGTCAAAGCCGGCCTCAAAGCGTGGGTTGCACCAGAATCCAAAAGCACCATCATGCCTTCAGCAGCCACGTCCAGCTGGCTGATCTTGATCATCTTCAGCTGCGGCGCCCTCAAAGACTTAAGAAGCTTCGTGGCCTCTTGGAGCAGAGCTTCGCTGGATGTTGTGCCCGTTTCACCTTTGCTTCCATCGCTTGGTGCAGGGACTTCACAGGCAGCCTCCATTGGACCTTCCATTTCTTGAAGCTTGGGTGCGATTGAACTGCCAGCACCTGCAACATTGGATGACGTAGAAGGCGACGTGGACATTTTTGACGATGACTTTCCTCCCCCTGAGCCGCCAGGCTCACCATGGGATTTGCCGTCTTTGGATGGACCAGGTTTGCCTTGTCCTTGGGCTTTGAGTTTGCAATCCGTTTTGCGGTGATCCTTGCCGCCGCAAATCCAACAACGAGCTGCTTTATCTTCAATGCCGTCCCATGAATGCGACCATTTGCAGTTGCGACCAGCTTTGCACCCTGACTCGGACCGGAAGTACTTGCAAGGAGTGGACGCCAAGGATGTGCCCTTCCCCTTATCCACAGAGCTGCCAGTGGCATTGGGTGGCTTGCCATGCGCATCCATTTGTTTCACCTTCACTGGCGATGGAGTTGTAGTCGATGGAGTCGAGGCCACGAGGCACAATGTTTCTGCCTCCGCGAGCAGACATTGGCTGAAGCGCCAAACACCATCATGTAGTGGCTGTTGATCAATCCCCAACTGCAACCTGCTCTGGGCCAAACGAAAGGCAGCTTGAGCATCCAAGGCACCAATCTGAGCAACGGCCGGTTCAAGGGCCTTCAACAACAAAGTCCCGTCTGGCAAGATCGCCCCGATCTCCTGAGCACGGGCATAATGTCTTCTCCAAGACCTCAAAGCCGCTGCCAGTTCAGGTGTCCCTGAGCTCTTATCCAGCGATGTCAGCTTGGCCAACAGGATCGACTTTTCCCCGGAACCACCGGGCTGGTACCTGACCAACAAGCGGAACAGCAATGCAGTCGAAGTCAACTCCCTGGCCGTGATCAAAGCCTGCTGCTGATCTGCGGGGATGGCTTTCAACAACAAATTCACACCACGCTGCTCCGTCCTCTGGTAACATTGATCCAGCAACTCATCAGGCAGCTTGGGAACAATTTGAACTCGCTCCAAGGGCGAAGATGTTCTCCATCTCTCGTAGTAGCACTGGGCTTCTCTTGTGGTCAAATTCCACCACCTCGATGACACCGATGAGATGTCTCTCAAAACAGGGCCACAAACAGCTAGCCAATCGCCCAGTTCGAGGGGAGATGCATCAGCTGCTAACTCGACCAGTTCTTTGTTGCCCCCACCACCTGCTCCTTCATTCCATGGCAAAGGAGCTGGTGCAGGCGAGTGCGGAACATCCGCTTGCCAGCGACCATACGTGGCCTCACCACCACGTGCCGCCAAATCAGGGCCCAGCTTTGACTCCATCATCCGTGGAGCCGGAGGGCACATGCCACCAGGAGGACATACACCGTCAGGACCGGGTGGGCATACTTCAAAACCGCTTCGACCTCCATGACCCAAACCATGACTTCCCCCTCCAAGAACACCACCAACACCCCGTAGGTCGTGTCCATGCATGAGGGATCCATTTGATGGTGCCAACGAAGAACCATGCACCCGAGGCTCTTGCAACCGGTGGACCGACTCCTTCAGCTCTGCCAACTCCCGTTCCAGCCGAGATGCGCGCTCGCCATCAGCGCCCAAAACAAAGGCTTTCCCCTCTCGCAGATTCGCTGGCAGCCAAGTTGCATCGCCAAGCCGCCGACGAAAACGAACAAAATCATAACCATGAAACATGTTGGAATCTGCCGAGGTGCTTTCAGGAAACGGTGGCATTGGAACTTCAGGCCAATCTTTCGGTGGTGTGGAGGAACTTGAGTGCCATTCGGAGTGCACCGGGATCCATTGTTGGTCCTCTTCGATGTCGGGCTCCGACCACGCGGCGTCTGCGGCGGTTCACCCCGCTGCAAGCCACTGCCATGTCCAGCAGTTGCATCGCTCTTGACGCCCTCTTGGTTGGATGTCTTCTCGTGTCCGTCCACCTGTTCCCAAGAGGAAGGAGCCGATGACGGAGCTTGGCCACTCCGCTGCACCTGTTGTCGGAGCCTTGCTACTTCCTCCAACAACTGATCATTTTGATCACGCAAAAATGACACCATTTCTGCTTCCAGTGCCCTTTGAAGACCTTCGGGTTCACCATGCACATGGGGACCAACTTTTGGTGGCATTGGACCCATCGTGCTCTTTCCAGCTTTGACCTTGTTGGCCTTGGTGGCCTTCCGAACCAACACTGTCCGGTGGCATCACCCCATCCGAGCGTCGCCCGAGCCCGTTGCCGCGACCATCCCTCCAGCAGGTGCTTGGTGGTGTGACGAACATGCGATTCGACCCCATGGACCCTGACGCTCCACCGCGTCCCTTGCCCACGCAGCCCGTGCGTTTGTCCTGCACAGGTGCGGTCTCCTCTTCCATCTCCCATTCACCTTCACCATCATCCTGCGGGATCGGCAAATCCCCTGGGCGGCTTCGCTGCAGGGCAACCTCCGACTGGAGTCGTTCTGACCAGAAGGGGTTCGCTTCGGGCGGCATTGACTGCGCCCTTCCAACCATGGCTAAGCGTGGATGTTTGGGCTCATAACCCTCTAAACACAAACAGCGAGGGGCGCTTGTTTTCAGCCAAACAAAATGCCTTCGGTCGACTCGTGTTCTCACGGTCATGCGTCCAAAGAACTAGAAAAACAACATCCGTCAGGAGTTTCTCCAACGACATGCTTTTCTACTGCTGTGTCCAATCACTTCTCTTGGAAAATGATGGCCCGGTCTGCGATAGACACGTACCTTGGGTGCCATGGAAACAGTTTCTGCAGAGAAAGCAGACGAAAAAGTTGGCACCCCAGGTTAGCATCATTCAGCAGAGTTGGCATACATGTCAGACGACAAAGATGCCTCATGTGGCCTTTTTAGGATGCCATTGATATGACTTCACAGGCCTTCCTTTGATCTTTTGTTCTTGCGAAGGCCTCCGTCAGATGAGGCTGAGCAGCTGCTTCGCAGGGCGAAACAGCTTCGGGAGGAACTACAGGTGCTTTCAGAAACGGATCAAACGGGCTCCAACGGATGCTTTGCAAAACCGCAGATACTGTGTGCAGAGTTTTAAATTGTCAAAGCACCCCTGCGAGGACCCCCACAATATTGCTGGATTTGGCCTTGCAACTAGTAACTAGAGGTTTTCAAACTGTCTCCCTGGACTATCAGAGAATCATGAGCTGGTCTGTTTTCACAGACTTCCCTGCCTTTGTAGTTCATGACAAGACCATTTCCTGCTGTAGAGATTGAATGTTGCTGCGCAACCACACAAACTACAAAAGGACAACATCGCATTGTGACAACCACTTCAGCTTTCCAATCAACCAGCCATGGTTCCCAATAACATAGACTATCATAGAATTCATTCAGTTGATCAGAACAGAATGGCACTTTCTCAGCTGGACCCGTAAGAGAACTGGGTCTTTCTGAACTCGATGTGTAGGAGGAAACCCGAAGCCTCTTAAACAGGTCTTCGGCGGTCGAAGCGGAGGGGGGGCGAATGGACCAAGAACTGCCAGAAGCAGTAACACCTTTGTGGGACATCGTTTTCCAGCGTTCCAGGCTGATGTCAAAGGCCCTGCAGTCACTCGTGTGACCGGCTCAGAGCTATCAGAACTTTACTAAGAACTTTAAGATATATAAATCCATCTTTGGATAGTTGGTGCTGTGAGACACTGGCTTCATGTGGCTTCCATCCTTCAGACATCCTTTGAATCGATCCGAGATTCGTCTTCTCTTGAGCCTCAAAAGAACTCTCCCGCTTTGGCGTGTTGCAGTGTTCAGTGAAGGTGCAGCCTGCGAATTGGAGACCCGACCCAGTTGAGTGACGACCTGAGCAATCTGGATCAATCTGGTATCACTTGCACGGATATTTGGCTCGCACTGATATCCTTTTTGTCATTGGCTCAATCTGATGGGCTGTGAACCGTTCAATGAAGAAAAGTTCCCCACATACTGGGAAACTTGGAAGAAAGGCCCTCTGAAGATGGTCACAATGAATCTAAAGTATCCAAGAGTTCGCTAAACTGGGCAAATCTGCAAACAACTGCAAACACTTATATAACTTAAGGAGATCAATCAACCAAAGTCATGTTGGTGTCTCCGACTGCCATGGCATTTGGAGCTGCTGTCACTCTTCCGCAGTCCATGCGCCGGATATCATCCACGTCAAAGCATGCAAGCAGTCCAACGCGGATAGCTTTGCAACGTGCTGGCTGTGTGCTAGTGACTTTGCAGGAAAGCCATGTTCTGTCCATCTAACACAGTCATACTGATCCTTCCTATTCCAGAGTGGTAATTGTGTGACCAGTAGTTGTTTCACAAAGTACTATCTAATATCACTTCTATCTCCAATTTATATAAAAACCATCGGCCGTATTGTTCCATTTGTGCAGTCGTTTGACATGGAGTGCAGCTCCAAGGCCTTGCGAGCAGTTTACGCCGCGCCACGGAGAAAAAGCGGGACCTCGCGGAGTTTCCCGGTGACAGAGGAGGACCCCTCCGGGGCGCTGAAAACGCGAGCCGCTCGGATCTTGGCGTTCGACTTGACCACCCGGTAACTACTCCTTCCCCTTTCTACAACCAAGAGTGTTATAGAAAAGAGAAGGTGCTCGGGCCCCTGTAATAAAGCTTTTCAAAGGGAGCCATATCATCAAGCTGCTACTAACAATGAACGCATTTGTTGGTATGTCTTGAGAATTATGGCTGTCATGGCTTGGTGTGAAATCGCTTGCTGCGAAAGCTGCGATTTCATTTCTTTGACTCAGCGATGGCTGAATCTTGAAGGATCGACAGCGCTGCAGCACGGATGTCCAGCCAAAGCCTAAGACTTTTAAGACAGCTGTCCAAGCCATTCTGAAAGCTTTGTAATTATTGGACAGTGAGTGCCAGAGTGCCACGCAAGGTTGGACTTCGAACGACAAGGCTTCTTGAAGGTTCCTGCGATACTCAAAGAGGCCGGTCATGTGCTGCTCACAGCAATAAAGTAGCAGCTGCCTAGAGTCTTCTGTCAGTCCTCAGGAGGAAATGGCCACACTGTCGCGTGCGATAGAGGAGCTGCAGAGCTCCTTGGCCTGAGCTGGGCGCAGCTAGACGCATTTATCTTGCTTTTTTTTTCCTCTCTCTCTCTCTCTCCGTTTATCAAGCTCGGTCCCCCTTTGCACGGCGTTCAACGATGGCGCGCCTCCCACGAATCAGGCACTTCTTCAAGGGTTAAACCTATGGAACATCATGAAAACCGGATCGCCAGATTCAGGGACTTGAACACTAATTCTAGTTCTTGAAGCTGAAGGAGTTTGTAGGTTGCTCAGCAGTTCTTTTTTGAGATACCTGCGAGGCTCAGAGAAGTGTGCTCTTTCAGCACTGCAGCATCAAGTCCGGGTCTGACACTTGGATATACTTTCTCTTGGCACTCAATTTGCACCCCTTTTGCAGTTCAGTTGACTGTTTGTCCTCAGGTTCAGTTTGGGGCGGTAGCTGCCTCGCAGTGCACGACTTTAGCAGCATGCCGGAAGAAGTTGGCGGCTTTGGAGAAGCGTGTCGAGCCTGCATTTTTTGGCAGAGATTTGAAAGGGCGTTGCCGAGACAGCAGGATGTGTCATGTTTGTGTGTGCCGCAGATGAGGTGGAGAAGTCAGCTTTCTTCAGTACTTCAACCTCCACCGCCTAAGTGAAGAGCTTCGAAGAATTGCAATGTCCCCACGCTTTTCATTTTGGGCCACGCGATTGCTTGGGGTGCCTCGTGTTCGCCGGCCTCTTAGCCTTGATCCAGAGAAGAACCTTTAATGCCATGTGGCCATGTTGATAAGTGATGATGGAATCATCAAGATCCATATTTGCAGAATAGTGGCTATGTGAGACTTGTGCAGGCCTCTACCAGGATGCCCTTTTTGTGAAGCGGCCAGGTACCTTGATGTGCGCTTCATTGTTGAATGCATGACTCGACAGCGGATACTTGGACACGGCAGCCCACAGATTGGCAACCTAGGTGATGGGGCAACCGATTGGCATTCAGATTTGGGCTTGGCACCCTTCGACACCAACAGCTGCTCGGTTGCCTAGGGTGATTCCGCAGTGGCGTATCCTGTTTTTGCACAAGGCAGAGGACTGTGGGAAGAAAGCAAGTCTCACTACTAGCTAGAAGCTACTAGTAACAAGGGCATTACTACTACTAGTATATAGCTAGAAGTTACTAGCAGCTTTTAAAGGCAATCTCGCAAATTTCCGTATTCGGCCCATGACACCCAGAAGATTACATATCTGACATAAGAGCTATCAATCCCATAAACGTGCACAGGACAGTTTAAGCAAATTAGCTCCTAGTAGCGATGCACCTTGTTCCTAGTAGCTTCTTGTTATTACTTCTGATTCTGAGTGAAGTTCAGGCTTTCTGACATTCTGGCTACCGCTGACAGCAGTACCTCCAAGAGGAGGCTCTTCCTTGGTCTATGCGATTGGAAGTCACCGCGATTTTGCTTTGCCCTTCCATGGGGACCTGGATGAAGATCTCACTGGCAGATACAAACTCTGGAGTGAAGGGCTCAATCTTGACACAGTAAATCAAACTGTTTGCTGCCGCGTTTTTTTCGCTTCAGGATATATAAAGCCCTATATAAAGGTGCCAACAAGCACGAAGCCTAAGCCATTTTTGCTTCCAAGGAACTGGAAGCATTTTGCCGGGCGATGCTTCCATCCACCATGGATGGACTCTGCACTCCGCCGCGGCGGCGCCCTCCAGCGGTCCCCTCCGCGTGGCCTGGACGCTGGGCTTCGTGGCGGACGGCGCCCGGCTGCACGGCGCACGCGGCGGCCCGGCCGAGGACGCCGTGTCCTACGAGCCGTGGATCGGCGACTGCGGCCGCGGCGCCGTGGTGGATCATCCCATGGTCCCACTGCTGCCATTGGTGGACGACTGAAAAGAGCGAGCTGGTGAGACAGTTGGGGGATGTTGGGGCATAGTAACCATCGGATAGTCGTAGAGTATCGTAGAGTTCAGACTGCTCAACTTCAGCCGGTGAAGTTTGATGAACATTCTTTTTTTCATTTCTCCTCGAATTCGGAATTCCTCCGGAATTCCGAGGTGGTCCACCCGTGCAGTGGCGGAGTTGGAACTCATTTTGGCAGAGGATCCCATGTGCACAGGTGAGGATGGCAGACAGCAGTAGACTCTGCGGAAGTTGTGGTTGATTTGGCTTGTTACCTTGTGAGGTGAGAGGGACAAAGAGGAGTCGAATGGCAGTCGAAAGGATGATGATGACACCCAACGTGAGAGAGAAGAGAAAGTGCCGATGACATCGCAGCCACCTTTACCAATCTCAGATGCGCCTCGTTTGCAGAAAGTCCTTCGGTTCGGGCTTGTGGCTTCCAATGAAGGATCTGATCGAACTGACGGCACTGGCTGCCTAGAGCATGCCAGGAACTACCTGTCCGTTCAAACACGCTTCTGTGCGTGTTTGTCGGTGGACGAGTTCAAGGTACGCAGTCTGCCTGCTGCCGGATCTACGCTTCGAGGCTTGGAAGAAAGCCAATGCCGCCGATTTTCTTGTATCAAACAGCATAACATACTGCATCTAGAATCTAGCCGCTAGCCGCTGGCCCTAGATGCTAGCTCCACTTTTGAAAAACACCATCATCCATGGTCTGTTGGCAGGCTTTGATGGACTTAACCTAAAGCTCGAAACCCTGGATCTGACCACCTTTGGACTTCGCAAGATCAGGCCGACAGTCACTCGTGGGAACGGGATGGAATGGGGTGTTTGCCAATGAATATGTTCTATACAGGGAGTCGATGTTTGTGGACACACCGACTATATTTGACTGTAGGGATGCGGATGGGATTTGGCTACGCTGCCGTGTGGTCTTGGGCTTGCACCTCAGAGTTGGCACTTGGACATTTGGCAGAGCTACAAGATTGATGATTGTAGATCTTGCCTGCACAGGCCAAAGTGCCAAGACGGAAGTGGAGGAAATCCTTCTCCGATGTCCAGAAATTCAAGGTCTGATTTGTTAGAGCAAAGCAGAGAAAGGTCATAGGACTATCACAGATGTAGGACGCACATGGAAGCACTCAAGACCCGTGGATCTCGCTGTCTTGACAGGACACAGAGTGGATATCCAACACTCCTCACATCAGCAAAAGCAAGCGCAGCGGCCTCACACTTTGTGCTTGGAATCTCGGTGCCACTCCGTCTGTGGATTGGAGGTCTGTGGATTGGCAAACCGTGGCAAGTGAACCGCCAGTGCCTCAAGACAGGATAAGGAAGACAGGTTTGGGTTTGCACAAACACAGACGTTGAAAGTAGTGTTGTTCCGTCCAGGCTTCAACTTGGGCTGCTGATCAGCTCGAAGACAAAAACGAAAGGGCGAGAATCACGAGAGAAAGGCTGGATCGTTCAAAGAAACGTTTGAATTGCTCGTGAGAAGGGTGGGATCAAGGCTGCAAGGTGCAAGGACCCTTGTCACGACAAACATTATTTTCTTTTTAAATTTGAACCAAGACGGGATTGTCATCAGTTTCAAGACCGCCGACCTTTCTATGGCAAATCCACGCTGTTCACCCAAAGGGGCCTTTGGGCCTCTGACTTTTGGAAGGCCACGCCCTGACACCTGTGGCCGAGGCGATGGTAATTCTATGTGTTTAAATATTTATTACTGTATTCAGTGGCATTGATTTCATGCGTTTGTGTTTTTTGCAGCTTGTCTAGCAGCTAAGTGTCTTTCTTTTGCGGAGAACACTGCACCGTAGAGAGAGAGGTCTTTTCGAAGCTAGTGTCGAGTGAAAGTAGCAAATGGAATCTCCATCCGTGCTTCCACCCTGTTGACTTGGTGTCATTGGATGCCAGGCCAACCTGCTGTGGTTTGCTGCTTGATCCCAAGCATACTTTCGACAATGCCACTTCGGATCGCAGTTCGTTCGTTGGTTTTCATGGTGAACTGCCAGGCCCTGCTGGAACCTGGGGCCACTTGTCCTTTCACCTGCGAGCTGAAGTCTGTGGAGTCCACAGGCGCATGAGTCACTGGATATCACACCAAAGTGCAGCGATAGCACCAATCCAATGATATTTACCTTCTTCCTCAATGTTCCTCTTCCTTTTGATTTTGAAGGGGTGTCCTTAACCTCTCATCTTGTTTCATCTCTTTCTTTTTTCTTTCATAGATGTTTGTTTCAATGTTGCATGTTTGTGTGTCTTCATCCATTGTGCGTTCCTTGTGATGTTCGAGAGCGGTGAATGGCCACGGCGGCCACGCCCAGGGGCAAAGAACCCACCGGTTGGACGCCTACACTTTTCGATGGAACTCACGGTCTCTTCTGCAGGCCACGTCAAGGGCAATAGATTTGGCGTTTAAAGATTTGTATTTGAGATATTAAAGATGCTTCCGTTTTTAGAGTATATACAGATATACATATATTTTCCTTTTCTGCAGGTGATTCTCCCCAAGGACAAGCTGATTCCAGTTGTGCCCCAATCTTCCACAATGTTTAGATTCCGTGTGAAGTGCCTCTGAACACCTTTTTAATCGCCTAGGCGAAGTTTATCTTCGAGTGTGGCTGAATACCGTGCAAGGGTACTTTTCAGGGGCCAGGGCAATTCTGAAGCTGGGCCCTTCCCAAGAGCTGCTGGTACCAGTGCAGCCGATGCGAGAAGATCTGGGACATTTAGGGGGGGGTGCGGTATCCGCTCAACCCATCTGGAATACAAGGGATGGTATTTGCAGCTCGCCATCTCCTCCTTGTATTTTTGTACAGATTTGGCAGGGCGCAGAGCTATGTGGGCTTGCCAAGTTGATTCTATCCCAACTGCCACCAGAATCTTGCCAGAATATAGCTTTGCAGGGCTACGAGAAGCTTCTCGAGGGTGAGTTGGATATTTTTGCGGTCACGACCGATCGCAGCATTGGGAAGCTTCATGTGTTAGTTCATGCTGGATCGCAGGAGGTCTTGCAGGTGCTTCAAGCTCCAGCTCCACCTGATTGCGAGTTCACACTTGAAGATGCCGCGGCGGGCATCATGATCCTGGCATGCCACGACATTGAAGAACTCGAGCAAAGCATCACGCAGCAGTTGCAGACGGGGCCACTGAATCTGCGGGCTTGTGAGCCTGGCCTGACCAAAAAGGAAGCTGATTCACTTACTGTTTGGATGAAGGCAGAGACCAGCACAAATGAAGGCAGCGTTTGGATGGCTTTAAAACCACGCATCGAAGCAGCGCATCAGAGCTTTGACCAGTTGGTGAAGGATGTGGGAGAGGTTTCAAGCACCTCAGTCGCCCTCGATTTCCTGGATGTTGCGGCACCATCAAAGCTCCAGCGGCAAGACATTGCCAGGGTCTTAAGACTACGCGGAATTGAGCTTGGCTGGAATACCTTGGAAAGTCTTTTCCTCGCTTTGGGGTGCCAGAGTTCACAGGCCCTTCCAGCGGCTTACTTCACTCGGCTGTTCAAAGCAAGAGCCGAGAAGAGGATCGCAGACATCGCCACGCTCCGGCAATTGGAAGGGCAAGTTCTGGCATGGGCTGGGCAATTGGAGAGCCCGAGAAAGCTGGTGAATTCGTTTTCCAAGTCTGATGGCACCATGGACCTGATGGGACTGAAGGTTCTTCTCTCACAGGGGCCCGTTTCGCGGAATGACCTGGATCGCCTGGCAGGATGGCGCTTTGAGGAATTGGGTGCCCGACCTGGAGGAAGCGTTCCATCAGAATCAGTCTTGCAATGGCTCACGAGGGAGATTAAAGTGCAGCAGCCAGAGAAAGGAACCCAAGCTTGCCTTCCTATTGATGGAAACACTGCCCAACAAGAGCAGGCACATTTGGACCAGAGGCTGCTAGCCTTTTCTCACAAAAATGTCAAAGTGGATGAACCTGGACATCAACACGAACTCAATCCCGTTTCCACACACATCGAGCGAAGCGTCGGATACCCAGTTGTTCCTACCGAGGTCGCGACTGGAGTGTCATGGGAGACGGTCGAACGAAAGGAGCGCCTCGAGGCACGCGTCGAGGAACGCGCGGAACGTGCGAGCATCCAGCTCTCTCAGCCCGTGCGCCGAATTGATGATCTTCAGAAACTGGAGGAGGCGTTTTCGACCTTGCTGAAGCTTCCACTTCACCGGGTGAAGGTCTTCGGAGCGGAAGGTGCATCCAGGATTTGTCTCCTGATTCGTGAGGAAAGCCATCAAGGTCACCTTGGTCACCCCAAAGGCCTGTCTGCCGAAGCTGCTTTGCGGGATCTTGCACAGCAGATGAGAGATCCAGCCAAGCTGACGGTCAAGAGCTTAGCCATGCTTAGCCCTCACAAAGTGCATCCAAGCTGTTGCATGACACGGGGCGATACAGTGCGACGCATCTAAGGCAACTGCTTTGGACATCTATTTCTCCTAGGTGTTGCAGGATGAGTTGACTTCGTGGCATTTGATTTGCAGGTGCTGCTAGAACTTGATCAACAGGGCGCACTGACAGCAACGGCATGATGTAACATGTCAAATCATGTCGATTTATCAGTTCCACAAAGATGGCATGCCCCCTTTTGTTTGACCCACCATGGCACTCAATGGCATCTAGGTAAACAAGGTTTTGACTCGCATCATCAGAATGAACAGTTTTCTAGAGTGAATCTAGGATCAGGATAGGCTGACGTCAGCCGGCGGGATTTGTAACTTGCGAAGCCAATATATAAGGGACTGATGCATACATACAGTTCTGCAAACTTCGGACTCGGACCCAAGCAGATTCTTGTTGAAATCGCCCCTCACGGAGAATCCACGTAACACCAAAGAATGTGACACCACATTACAATCGTTACCTCTCGGTTTGGCAGCACTTGCCACCAGCGAGGAAGAACGCGCCACCGAGTTCGTAGCAGCTGCACCAACCTGCTAATCGAGCAAACGTAACAGCCTACCAGCTGTGAAGTGTTGCAGCATACCAGCTGTATTTGTGCAATATTATTAATTAGCGGCCTGACGACGCCAGCCAGCAGTACAAGGCTCGAGTAACAGAACAAAGCTCCAGTACATCCGTGTCGCGTGCCGCGCAGGGCCTGGCCCGCACCAAACATACGCCTGCGCAGTCATCCAGCGTGCGACGGCTGTTCTTTTGCAGCCATTTGTCTTCAAACTTGTCGGAATTCGCTGCCAGGCTGTTAAACAAATCTAGTGCTGGAGAATGTTTTCAATTTGTGCCTTGGCCTAGCATAGTGGTCTTAGAGCGGATCCATGTGTTCATGTGTCGAGGGAATTGGATGTGTGGGCAGGGTCAACAAGAAAAAGCCACGAAGAGCTTCAATGTGCTTCAACTCTATTCCACCGACACTGTGATGGTTGTCGTGCTCAAGTGTCACTTAGAGTCTGATTCAGTTTTTCACGGGCAGCTTGCAATGGCAAGTTGGCCGGACCTGTTTCCAGACTTTGTCGGCCTCGATTTTTTCCCTGTGAACAGCGCGCACAATGGCCATGGTGAACAAGTGTGGCAGATTGAAATCATCGGCAGCAGCATGCAGATCACAGGGAACAGTGCAACGTTCCAGTACAAATTCTCTGTCATTGAAGTACCTGAAGATGGCGACCAGAGCTTCACTGATGGTTATACGTTGACGAAGGCTTCTGCTCAGATTGATGTCGCTCAGAAAGCTTTCAGGGTGGATGGCGGATTGGAATTGATCGAAAGCACCATGCCGCCAGGTTCTTACAATCTCAAAGGTCTCAATTGGGAGTTCCTGCTGAACTCTGACAACACCCTCATTACCAAGGTGGACACAAGCTGGGCAGGCCACAAATCTCTGCTGTTCGTGAAGCCAAAAACATCACTTGTGCCGCACCTGGCGCCATCAGGTTTGGCAATGATCCAGGACAAGATCAAAGCGGCAAGGCGGTTTATGTCGGAATGTGACCTTGTGGAGGCTCAAGCAGAGCGAGTGGTACGCATCAAGATGGACGACATCAGAATTGGTAAGCTGGCCACGCAAGAAGAGATGTTTGAAGCTGATGTGAAGTTTACACTCTCCTGGCTCATCACCAGGGATGAACTTTACCAACGGATAGTGAAGCCTCACGATTGGCTACCATCGTGGTGTCCACCCGCGCCTGCGGTGTTGAATTCGCATCAAGAAGGCTCAGTTGCCATCACGTGCAAGCCAGTTGTCTTGCATAAGAATGGCAGGGAGGTGACCTTGTCACAAGCTTGGAGCATTAGAGGCAGCTTTCATGAAACTCTGGAGCTTGACAACTATCCCTTCGATTGCCAGCCTTTGCATGTGCATTTCGCATTCTCTGCCCCTGATGGAGAAAGCATTACCTGGGAGCATGGTGAGTGTGAGAAGCTCCTGGGAATCGACACGGATGCAGGAAACGAGTCTCCCATCCGGGTGATGCTCGCACGCGCCGTAGTGCGACAGGAGAGCCGCTCCAGCCGAAGTTTCGAACTAGAGATGCTCGAGCCAACCTCGAAGGTTCATTGCTGTGTTGGGGTGGTGGTCAAACGCAAGGCCACCATGTACTGGGTACGGATCATTTTGGTCCAGCTCCTCATCAACATTTTGTCCTTGACCATTTTCAGTATTGATCCTGTGGATGACAAGGCTGACCGCCTGAACGTCATTTTGGTGGTGCTCTTGGTGGCAGCTGCATACTCGCAGATCACTGCAAGCATGTTGCCATCCTTGGGATACATGACGCTTATCGACCGATATATTTTCGAAAGTCTTCTCTTTATGTCAGGGCTTTGCTTGCAGGTGGCCTTCATTGGTGATGTAAAGACGGATCAAATCTGCATGTGGGCCGATGCTGTGATGATGATCCTGTGGCACCTTTACAAGGCACTTCGCATTTTTGTTTGGATTATACCACGCGAAAGCCGCAAAGGCTTGGAGTTGAATTGGTCCGGAAAGCCGAAGACCAGTGGCAGAAGACAATTGTCTGGCTCCGCGAAGCGATGGTCAAGACTCGAGTCACAGCCCATCAAGGATTCCGAATGAAAGAGAGTAAAGAAGATCTAGTGCAGGCTGGGTTGAGCCTTCCTTATGTAAGAGATGACAAGGATACTTCACTCATCATTTTCCATCCTCATCTGGCTTGTTTCTAAAGGGTGAACCGGCGGATGCAGGGTGGTGGGACACTTCTTTGGTTTTGTCAGGCCAATCAGCCAATGGCTATAACAACCGGGTGTTTGGATCGCACAACTTGAAGTAACTTGCCGACCAGAGTCTGCTAACCTATGCTACTCACCGAGCCCTTTGTCATGTTGTACGGTGGGCACCGAGGGTGTTGGAGTTCACTGTGTTTGGGGAATCACTGATTCTCTGGTGTTTGGGTGGGTTGACCATTGGAGCCACGCAAACTAATTGAGTCATTTGAGCAGGAACAACCATTTCAACTGGCTGGTCATTGAAGCCCAGACCAGTCTTTTTTAGGGCGGCCTTGCAAGTTTTCACTTGTACCAGACACTTTGGCGTGACACTTGTGGCAACAGACCGAGGCCAGCAAGCTTTTGTTGTCCTACGAGGCATGACCTAGGAGGGAACAAAGATGAGCTCGTGTCGATTGGTGGTCGCAGCAGTATATGCAGCCGAAAGGCTAGCGGCTAGCGCAAACCTCTAAACAATTGTTAGTGCAAAAACCTGCAATGATTTTTGTAACTTTTCCAGGTCACTTTATCTTAGAGATCCTGAAGCCGCTAGCCGCTAGAGTCCTAGCAGGTTTACCGGAAAAACTGTATTTGCATGATCCACTCGTTCGGCGCCAAGTTTTTTTTTTATTCAGCGGGTTGGCTTGCCATCAAACCCTAACCCTCCCATTGCCCAGCACTTATGTTGCCTGCAGCTACAGTGTGAAAGCTTGGTAGATCGCTTGGATAGCTGCAGGCTTTCGGAAACTCTTGTTGTCTTTGTTCTTTTTGGTTTTGCTTGTACCCAAAGCCAATCGTGCGGGCAGCCCCTGATTCTGGTGAATCCTGCAATAAAGGGCTTCCCAAGCCACAGGTCAGTCTTTTCTTACCTGTGAAACTCGCGTAAATACATTCTTAACGATTCCTCAGCTTTTGGATGTTACCGTTACTTAAATCATCGCAAGCCCAACCCTTTTTTCTCCCAACTTGGGTTTGTGCAATGTAACCGGTCCACGAGGTGATACATCGCATGAAGCTCCTCACTGCCCTCGTCTGCACTACCCTCCCAAAGTTTTAAGAAGCAAAGACTAATTAGTACGTGCTTGGAACCCGTGGAAGCAGGTTATGTTTCCCAAATACATTTCACTAGCCAAAATGCCTGGCCATTTTGGCTCAAGATCTTGTCCTTCTTGAAAGAAAAGCTCCCTGCTTTCTACCCCATATCGACCATTGCCGCCATGGCTGGTTCTGATTCCGGAATCTTCAATTGGGAGCTGCTCGACGAGGCTGCCACAGTCACCACCCTTACCCTGGACCAACCGGAGGTCGATGAGAAGGAGAAGGAACTTGGCCTGGCCGTGGAAACGTTGCTTCCAAGCTCAAGTTGTTGTAAGAGTGACTCTGTTTTTCTTAAAAGTGCTGCAAAAAATTGACTTGCGCTGTCTGCCTTTTCATGGCTTGAGTTTATCCAAAGACTGGGCGATGCCAGTGTGGACAAAAAGTTTGCCACCACCAGAAAGTTCAGTCAACTTAAACTCAAAAAGTATGTTGGTTTTATAAAGTTGCTTTGGTACCCTTGGTACTAAGTGACAAAATCACAAAATGGCAGCACATGATTTTTTTTGGCATGGCTTACTTCATTCTATGACACATTCCACCATGTTTGCAGCCTAAGTCGGTTGCAGTGCACCGAATGTTTTTTCTGCGGTAGCCAGCAGAAAGAGCACGAAAGCAAAACACTTAATCCTGAGATGCAGGGGTGGTGGGAAGGTTACCCAAAATTCCCCGACGCATGGATCCAAACAGAGAACAAAAACTCTTTGCTTTCCTTGATCTGAAAGCAGCAAGAGGGACCAGATGTTGGTTCCTCGGATTTCGGAGTTGTCTAGATTTGCATTTTTGGATATTTTTGGTCTCTTCAAGAATGCACGCAGTCCTTTCCAAACCAGTTGGCATTCTGGAAAGGTTTTCAATTGCAGTATCATGTTCTTCCTTGCAGTGTCATGGCTATGGCCCTTGGTCGCCGTGGCAGCAACACTTGTCCATGGTACTCACCACAAAACAACACTGCGTTGAACGCAATATTAAAAATAACGCAAGTTGCTGTGGCAGCAACAAAGAATGTAAGCTTACATCTGGCTGCAACTTTACACATCGTGACAGTTGCTGCGATAGCAGCCCTAAAGAGACTGTTACATGCACATATGGTCATAGTGGCTGTGAAAGCAAGCAAAGATGGTTGCTGCGACACCAAAGCCCGACAGTTGCCGCGATAGCAACTCAAAAAAGGCGTTCACCTTCAACAAGACCTTGCTGTGAGAGTTTCTGCGCGATGAGAGTTGCGCATCAGAGCGAATCAGTGGTAGCTAGCCTGTGTACAACACACTAGCGTAGTTGGCCATGTTTTTCTTTGCTTGTTGCTGTGATCGCAGCTCTTGCTTCCTGGCCGGCCACTCAGTTTGCCACATCAGCCTCAGGCTTCTTGCGTGAAGGTTGGTTCGCGTGTGAAACGTGCGCAAACCACAGCTTGAAGACAATGCCTTGGCTGTGTGGACATACTTGGCTGGATGGCTACACTTGCTTCGTCAATGACCGATGACCAGCCGAGGCCCGCCCTGCGACGGCGTTGCCTTGGAGTGAGCGTTTACGCGCAGAATCTGCTTGGTTGGACGTGTGGCAACAACTGCTAACTAGTCTGGGTTTGGGCTGCAGAGTTGTGAGTGGAGATGTTTTGTAGTCAACTCACTGGGGGCAGCTGTCAGTATTCTGAGCCAGCCACAGAGCCAAGGGTGAGGGAAACTACGCTCAGACAAGCTGAAATAGAATAACATATTTTTTTGATCAGGGCAAAGGAAATGTCTTTGGTAAGTTGCAATGGGTCAAAACCCTGCCCCCTTACATGGCCATGGAAAAACAATTAAGCGCCGATATTTGTTAACTAGTATTGGCGATATTTTGTACCTGCCTGGATTATTTTTTGAAATGTTTTATTTTCTTCCTAAATGAACTCTCAACTTGGTGTTCACCCGAAGGGCGCAACGCAGTGCCACTTGAGCCCATCCAAAAAGCCCGCGGGCCTAGCTTGGCAAAACCATAGGTTCTCAAAAGTCGCGCAGGCAGACCTCTGTTCTGTCCCGTCCTGTCAACACGCGCTTGGCCAAAGCGCGGTCCATCAAAGAGGTGAACTCATCAAAGGTCAGAGCCTCCTAGATTCCACTGCCACGCCCATAGCCCGAGCCAACGTTGCCAGTGCTGCTGGCAAACTGGCAACGCCTGGAAGTGTCAACGCCAGCTTTCTAGCGCGGCAGATCAAAATACAAAGGTCCTTGTTCAGCTCCTTCCTGTTGCGACTTGGATATTTAATTAATGTAATTCTCAGGTCTCCTGACTTCCAAAGAGAGTTTCTGGCCATAGGCTTTTTGGCTAAGGACTCGAGCAGTCAAAGGAGCGGGGGGCGCCTTGAATCTTAGTGGGCGCGCGTGAAGCGGGTGCCAATCAAAGGGCAGGTGGACTAAAAGCAAGCCACAACCGTCGGGGCCCATAGTCCAGATGGGCCCAAGAGAAACATAACCGGGTGTTGCACTTTTTTGGAAAGCTGGACTCTCCAGCCAACACCATATACAGCCCTCCTTCAGCCTGGCGTGGCACCAGTGACGCCAGCGCAGGAGACACTGACCAACCCTTCCAAGACACAGTTTGGTGGTTCCAACTACAACTTATTCCAGAACGCTTCTCATGGGCGTTCTTGAAATCCAATCCAGGGGTTGGAGATGAGGGCTCCCTCTCGAAAAGAATCGCCGCTGAAGATCCCCTGATCCCCGACAACCAGGGCAATGTTTGTGCGACGCTGAACCAATCCACGAAGAAGAGGCCGACGGCGGCAGTCCTCATGCAACTGGTCCTGACCTTGCGTCAAGGCGGTTGCCAATTGGCCCCGTCTCATGTGAAGCGAGACTTCAACACCTGGGCGGACGAGCTTACCCATCCTTCGGACCTACACTTTGATGAACTGGGTCTTTCAGGAACTATATGCCCCCAGCCCTTTCCTGAATCTCCGATTGTTTTACTTTTTCTTTACTCAAGTTTTCTTATTGATGACGGCCATGGACCCGCTCCTCAGGGTGTCTGGTGTCTGCTTTCCTCCATGCGTCTCACCAACTTTTGACGCAACCGGGATCGGTGGCGTTTTGGGTGCCATCCCAGTCTGCATCCAACGTTGGACTTGCCCATGCGAGGGAAAGCCAACCAACACGCAAAAGGGCGATTGCGCTTTTCGATCGTTGGTGGCTTTTGGACTTCATGATTTTGGGAAGCTAAGATGTATATAGCGTAAGGGTGCGACAAGGCAGGATGAGCAATAAGTCGAGCACCTGGTGCAGCAGAGGAGGACAACCCTTAGTGGCCCTATACAGTAAAAATGGCTCTTAAGAACGGAACAGACTTTGACACAACCAAGGCTTGTGGGCCTTGTGGGATGAGATTCTTGTAAGTTCAGGTGCCTGGAAAACACCGTGCGCTATATAATGGAACACTTCTCAGAAGCAACTTGTTTGGCAACTTTCGGAGCGGCTGGTGTTCGCATGCTTTGGGACGTGAAACATGGGGATGTTCTTCCTGCTTCTTTGGCAGCTGCCCTCTCGATTAACTCCTTCAAATCAGCCATAGAAAGCCTTAGCGGCCCAGTGACCAGAAATTCCTCTTGGGCTCTTGGCCCTCATTGCTTCTCTCACCGACAAGTCCCAAAGCAACCCGAAAACCGAAACAATCAAAACAAAAAAGACGAACCCAGTCGACCAAAAATCCGCGCCCGATTCCTGCAAATCCGCGTAGCGCACGACACGAAAAACCATTGCACCATAGGAGCAGGACAGGCTTAATTATGCCAAATCCTGCGGGATTTGCAACTTCTAAAGATTCTAAAGCCAACTTGTAACAACGCCAAAGAATGTGACTTGCCAGCAGCGAGAAAGAACGCTGTGAAGTGTTGCAGCATACCAACTGCGTTTGTGCAATATTATATTAGCGGCCTGACGACGCCAGCCAGCAGTAAAAGGCTCCAGTAACAGAATAGAACTCCAGTACATCCGTGTCGCGTGTCGCGCAGGGCCTGGCCCGCACAAGCCGCAAACATACGCTAGCGCAGTCATCCTGGTTCTGAGGGCGGTTTTGTTTTCCAGCTTCGTGTGCCCTTCCCGTCAATTCAGGCGTTTGGTGGTGCCATCACGGCGGTCCTTATCCAGCAGTTCAGGCGCTTGCGAGGGTTCGTCTATTTTTTTAAAAGAGTTTCACACTTGGATATTGCCATTGCTGTTTTCCATCAATGCATGACATGATTTACAATGCCACTTTGCTGCCCGTATCTCAGACTCAAACCAGACCCTCGCTTGCCCCGAAGTTTGCTGCTAAGGGTTCAGAACAAGGCATGGGTGGTGGCAGAAGCAGGGAGATCCATCACTATCACGAGGACAAGGAATCCAAAGAGCTTGCGCGCAGGGCTAGTGAAGAAGCGGCAGCTTTGCGCGAGTCAATGATGAAGGAACGAAAACGTGTTCAGGAGCAGCAACATCAGCTCGACCAGCAGCACCAGGAAACCCTGCGCCGCCTAGAACAGCACGCTGCGGAAGAGAGGGCCGCTGCAGAGAGAAGGTTGCGGGAAGAGGAAGAGAAGCGGCGCAGGGAGGCTCAAGAGGCCCTTCAACGTTTGGCGGAACAGGAGAGGGAGGCTGAAGCCCGCTTGGTTGCAGAGATCCAGAAGGAGCGCGATAACATTCAGAAGCAGAAGCATGAAAAGTGGTTGCGTCTCAAAAGAGATTATCCTATCCCTGCTTACCTTGAGCCCTATGTGAATGAGGTGACCGAAAATGCTGAGTTGGATGGCGCGCGGGGGCGATTTGTGAATGTTGCCATGCTGGGAGATTCCGGAACTGGCAAGAGTTCGTTGATCAGAGCAATTTTGAAGCACTTTGACATTACCTTGCCAGAGGATGAGATGCCCAAAATCTCAATGGAAGGCGATGGAACGCTGGAGCCAGCGCGATTTTCACTGGCCAATCTGGGTCAAGTCTCATTGTGGGATCTTCCAGGGCAAGGCACCACGAAGATTTGCTCCAGAACATATCTCTGCAATATGGGACTCAAGTACTTCGACCTGGTCGTCATTGTCACAGATGGTCGTTGGTCTGAAGGCGACGCAAGTTTGTTGGCCGCCATCCGTTTTGCAGACATCGGATGCCTGGTTGCTCGAAGCAAGGTGGATCTTGCAGTAGAGGCTGGAAAAGAAGATCAAGGATGGAGCCAACAAGAAACACTGCAGCACGTGAGCAAGAAATTGCAAGATCAAACCGGACTCACACCAGGTCGCATTCATTTGGTGACATCAAGGCCACGCTTCTGGAATGAATTTGGCTCAGTCGAAATCTTGTGCCAAAAGCTGGAAGGGGAAGTGCGAGCATCCTTGGCAGGTGAGTCAGTGGAGGAGATGTTTGACGAGCAACTTGGGGCGGCAGATGTCCATATGCACTCAACCGAAGATTGGGAAATGATTGATGGTGAGAGCACGCGATCTAGGGCGGTAGTGGCCAATTGAAGCTGCTGGCTACCTTTTCCAGACAAAACGACACAAGGATACACAAGGCATTACCGGTCAGAATTCCATGTGGATGGTCGGTCCATCAGATTGTGTTCGAAGTGGATAGAAAGCAGCTGCCATGACATGGCCAATTTTGGAAGCCGTTTGTTTGAGAGTCGATGAGTCTTGTGATGTCTTTTGAAAGACCCGCCGATAGAAACAAACGGAGTTTGGCGGTAGGAGGTTCAAGCTATTTGCAGTTGTTTGAACCTTTGCCGTTCGGCAAATTTCAAGCGGCATTGCAGCGAGCCCTACCCAAGGAATAGCCGTTTCCATCCATTTCCCAGGTACACGTCATCATTGTGCCGTGCTGTTTCAACTTGTTGTTGGCACCGTATTGTTTGGAGCTGTGCGAGTTCCTTGTGGCTGCACAGAAGTGATTAGGGCTCGCTGTTCGTGAGTCACGAACGTGCCGAGTCGAGGAGAGCGAATTCCGAAAGACGCTCAATCCTTGTGTTTCGCGATGGCTTTCAGTCAGTCCGGCCTGAGTTGATCAAAAACAACGGACAGAGTCAGTCTGGCCTGTGGTGTTTGAGGCTTTGCTTTGGCCTCCAAGTTCTTTGTGAGGGCGGATGTCCGTTGACAAACTCAAGGCACTACCTGGAGGACTGACCACAGCTACTTTAGTACTTATTTGCTTGTGTGTTCAACGTCCAAAACGCTTCTTCAACAGACGTTTTTCCGTTGTGGGTGATGCGTGTCTTGCAAGCTTCCACTTCCCCCATTGTGAGCCGAAGAACTGGACATGTTCAGTGGGTCTGATTATTTTTAAAATGAAACTAACTAACAGGTTAAGGTTCCCCAGGTAAGAAGTCGATGCTTTGTTGGAGGTTGAAGATCATAGATCCGAGAATCACGAAGTTCATGTTTGACTTTCTTGGTGGCTTCAGATTGCGCTGCAAGTGGCTACCGGCTAGCCGCCTAGCCTGAAGCCAGCACGTCACCAAAAGTCAGTGTGGCGTTGGCTTCAGAAGTGCCAGCCTCGGCAGCCTCGCGCGGCCGAGTTGCATCCAAACACGGTGACTTGTTGGACGCCTGAGAGTTGGGTCGGATGATCGTGCGACAAGTAACCTGGTTGCCCGAAGGGGGCGCCAAAGGATTCGATCACGGAAACTCTGTGCACAATAGCCCAGCAAAAATCAAAGAGTACACCGACTATCATGGCTACAGACTGGTGTTCTTCACCGAGATCTCTCTCGCTGCAGAAGACAGGCCCTCACGCTGGTCAACAGTGTTGGCGCTTCTGAATGTACTCCAATATCAGCCGGAGGTGGACCACGTGTCCTGGACAGACAGTGACTCAGCATCAGCGTGACGGATTACACGCCCAGAGGAAACAGCTCCATGACCTTCAGTGGAGATTATCATTGTTTTGTTATTCTGGGCAAATCCAGTTCCATTGGCTGATCAGTTAAAAACAGTTTTTGCAATTTTTACTTTCCCCTTCAGCGACGCATCATAGTGGATTGGAGGTGCACAGGTCAAGTCGCCGGGTACTTTTTTCTCCCTAAAATGACCAACCTACAATTGGGTTTGGGTTTGTATTTTTTTCCGTGCGTGTCCTGGTGCAATGGTAAGAAGTTCAACTTTTCTCCTTTAGATCTTTTAGTGAATCATATCCGCGAGTCACGATTCATACCTTTGAATCATACAGTACTTGTACCACCGAATCACGCCCTTAAACAATTGTGCTGGAACATGGTTTCATGGCGAATCATACCCTCGAATCATACTGCCTGTTCAAACGTCCAAGCCCCGGCAAAACATGACGAACCCAAAGATGTGACTGCGGCTACCGGCCCAACTGCAAAATCTGCGACCAATTCTCCAGAAAAACCGATGGACAAATACGATCTGAACCTCGGAAGTCCTTCTGCTGCCGTGCTTAGCCGCTAAGCCTGTGGTTGAACCTCTCAGTTTTCTGGACACCTGGAAGGTCCAGGTATATTAATGTATATCAATGTAGTATATATATATACACATATTTAATCTAGAAATGAATAGACATGACAGATCTAGATGTCGGTGTTTTCTTTCCTCGTGTTGCTCGTACGGAAGTCCAAGGTTCAAGAACGACAAGTGGCCGGGTGATTTCTTGAAGGAAGTTTGGAAGACGCAAACACCTTGCCCAGAACCGTGGCAAGATCAGTCGGCTTTGTTTTCTACGTCATGCACAAGTTCTCTACCTCCACAGAAGCAAAGCAGAAGGCAAGAGCATGTCGACACTCGTATGAACAATATGAACGCAATTTTTATGATAAATGATGTTGCTTTGGTAGGTTCCCCCTGCAGACTAACGGTGGAGTGCATGGTGCATGCGAAGAACTTTGTTTGGTGCTGGCCAATAAAGCCTTGTTCGGCCTAGGGCCTAGAATACAATCAAATGAATTGCTGGTCACATATGTTGCTTGGTTCGCATCTAATTATATTTCTCATTCTGTAAAGAATACATTTGTGTGAAAGTACGTAAGATCGTGCAGCTCATTAGCATGGTGGAGTCAGACGCCTCTAAGTTGACTTCGTTGCCGAAGTATCCACGCTGTTGCGAGGTACCGGGCGATACAAGCGATACAGTGCCATGCGCCTCAAGCCATGATGATTGCAGCTGCTTCCAGAACTCGATGACCAACAAGGCGCACTCACCGAAACAAGATGACATCTAGTAGCGTCCTTGCTCCTAGTAGCGATGCCAGGAGCCCCTAGTAGCGTCATGGTGATAATATATGATAATATCATATCCACAAAGATGGCACGCCCCTTTGTGCTTGACCCGCCATGGCGCTCAATGGCATCGAGATAAACAAGGTTTTGTCTCGCGTCATTGAATCATATATACACATAAAAGAGCTTTTCCAGAGTCAATCTAGGATGAGGATAGGCAGAGTTCAGTGGGATTTGCAACTTCTGAAGTCGCAGACAGTTCTTCAGGCTTCGGACCCAAGCATGTTGTTGTTGAAATCGCCTTTCATGGAGAACCCATGCAACGACAACAAACATTTTCACCAAAGACCAGTCCTTTCTAGAGGAATGAGCGGATGTCTCTGACGCAGGACGCCCCCGAGAAAGTAGTAGTAGTCGTGCCCCCCCCCCGCCCCGAACTAGGACAAGTAGTAGTAGTCGTGCCCCCCCACCCCTCTACGAGGGCCTTAAAGAAGGATCCTGTGCTACGAGGGCCTTAAAGAAGGATCCTGTGCCACGAGGGCCTTAAAGAAGGATCCTGTGCTATGAGGGCTCTAAAGAAGGACCCTGTGCTACGACGAAGGATCCTGTGCTACGAGGGCCATAAAGAAGGATCCTGTGCTACGACGGCCTTAAAAGAAGGATCCTGCGCTAGGAGGGCCTCCTGTGCTACGAAGGCCATAAAGAAGGATCCGTGCCACGAGGAAGTAGTAGTAGTCGTGGCCGACCCGTCCTGGAATTGGAAAAAATAGTAGTAAGCGTGGCGTGGCCCCCCCCTCCCTGTGCTACGAGGGCCTTGAAGAAGGACCCCAAAGAAGGATCCTGTGCTACGAGGCCTCGTCGAATCCTTTTTACAGGCCCTAAAAGAAGGATCCTGTGCTACGACGGCCGTAAAGCAAGATCCTGTGCAAGGACGAAGGATCCTGTGCTACGAGGGCCTTAAAGAAGGATCCTGTGCTACGACGGCCTTAAAGAAGGATCCTGTGCTACGAGGGCCGTAAAGACGGATCCTGTGCTACGAGGGGCTTAAAGAAGGATCCTGTGCTACGACGGCCTTAAAGAAGGAGTCTGTGCTACGAGGTCCTTAAAGAAGGATCCTGTGCTACGAAGCTACGCGTTATGTCGGGCACGCCAGCCATAGATACAAGGAGCCAACATAGTTTTATAAAGCAAAAACAATGCAAAAAAAACAAAAGGCAAAGCAAACAAAAAAGCAAAAAATGTAGCTGTGCGTATTGGTCGTTTTTTTCACTTTTTTTCGCTTTATTTT